GAGACGAGCGGATTGCGGGTAGCAAAGCGCAACTCTCCGCCGGCGAGAGGCGAGGCTTGGGGCTTTGCCTTCTAAGGAAAAGGCAACCCCCGGGGCGGAGCCGCGGCCAGAGCTTCCCCGCTGCCTCCCCGCTTAAGGAGGACCCCGCGAGTTCCCGGTGTGCGCCCAAGGGGAACCACGGGCAGGAGCAGGTCCCGCCTGGCCGCCTGATAAGGACCGAGCTCTGGCACCAGCCACCGGGGTTCTCACCCGGCTTTAATATCCTACGGATTCGCAGAGATTCTTTACATGGTCTGGCTACCGTGTCTCTGGTCTGACACATGGCTTGGTGTGGTAGACGGAGACTTGAACTTGCCTTGTATGGAAGGTGCCGCAATACCTTCCGCCGCTCTGGGTTTGCGACTGCGCGTGCTGAACAGGAGTTTCTCAGTGAAGTCCGATTTATTAGTCTTTTCTCTTATGATTGGTGTTTTTCCATTAGGATATTCTCCTGTCTTCTTTTAGAAGCTTAATTGTTTCAGTGTTCTATGATCTATGACGGATCACAAATTAATTCTTGTGAATGTTGTGGTAGAGGGTGAGAGCTCACTTTTTTCCGCGTGTCTACCCAGTAGACCCACCATCACTTACTGAAAGGACCATCATCCTTCCACCGAATTGGAGGAGTCCCCATCAGAGATCAAGTGACCATGTGTGTTCTGGACTCTTTTCTATCTCGCTGTTCTGTTTTTCTGTCCTTTAGTCAGCATTACACAGTTCAAACAACAGGCTGAATCAGCTTGCACTAATTCACATACATGCAGCATGTCTCCCAGTAGCTGTAGAATACATGTTCTTTCCATGTGCACATAGGATGCTAGTCAAAATAAACCATGTCGTGGGCTATAAAGCCTCGATAAATTTCGAAGGACTGAAATCATACAAGTGTGTCCTCTCTGAATTAAATTAAACCTCAATAACAGGAAAACTACCAGAAAGCCTCCAAGTGCTTGGAAATTAAACATCACATCTCTGAATGATCAGTGGGTTAAACAGTACCTCAAAAGGGAAGTCATAAAATATTTTTAAGTGAACAATAGTGAAAATATGACATATCAAATGGTGGGGGTGCAGGCAAAGCAGTACTTCAAGGAAAATTTATAGCTTTAGATGAAAGGTTGAAAATTAATGCTCTAAGCTCCACCTCAAGAAGCTAGAAAATGAACAACAAATTGAACCCAAAGATGAATGGAAACAAAAATGAAAGAAGTTAATGAAACAAAGCAAAAATCAGAGAAAATCAACCAAGCCAAAAGTTGGTTACTTGAAGAGATAAATGTAATTGATCAACCCCTGGAAATAAAGTACAAGAAAAAAGAAAACACAAATTGCAACATCAGGAATGAAAACGAGGACATCACCACAGACACTACAAACGTTAAGAGGTAATAAGAGGATGGTGTGAACAACTTTGTGACAGTAATTTGAAATTTAAATGAAGCACAGTTTATCAAACCTAACACTATATGCAGTAGAAAATCTGGATTTAACTCATAATTTAAAATCTTCCCACAAAGAACATTCTAGGTTCAGATGGTTTCATTGAGGAATTCCTCTAAACGGTTGAAGAAATACCACCAACCCTACACAAACCTGTACAGAAAATAGAAAAGAAGGGAACATTCCCCAAATCATTTGTGAGGCCAACATAGTGGTACCAAAACCTGTCATGGAGCTAGGAAAGCCCCTGAACTTCTCTCTGCCTTGGCTTCCTCGTCTGTAGAACAGAGGAGACAACAGTTTTATGGACTGAATCAGTTAATCCATATATACAATCGCCTGTCATATTGCAATTGCTCAGTAATTGTTAGCTGATTTTTCAGAAAAGCTCTAAAATGTGAGTGTGCATTTTAATGTACTCTTTAATGCAGAGACTGGAGCAGGACAGAGTCTGCCTCTGGCATTTCTTTCTTTTTTTTTTTCAGCTGAGGTATAGTCAGTTACAATGTGTCAGTTTCTGGTGTACAGCACAATGTTCCAGTCATACATATGTATACATATATTCATTTTTATATGCTTTTTTTAAACAGAAATATACTTTAGTCTATTATTTTAGAGCAGTTTCAGGTTCACAACAGAACTGAGCAGAAACTACAGAGAGTTCACACACAGCCCTCCCCACCCACACATACATACTCCCCGACCCTCAACGTCCCTCATCAGCGTGGCATGTTTGGTACAATCGATGAACCCACATGGGCACATTATTATCAACCAAGTCCATACAGTT